CATTCCAATGTGTACTATTAGGACAGTAAAAAAACAAAAAACAGTTTAAAGAGGGAGTGATTAGTAAAATATGCATACATAGAAAGAAAGAATGCTAACTAGGTAACAATAAGATAAGAATAAACCAGTTTAAATGATTTGTTATTGGTTGTGATCATATTCTAAAGATGATTGGATTATTGAAAAGTATACAGCTCCCTTTCATATGAGTGTTGAAAGCTCTATCCACAAATTCACCAGAATTTATGGATACACCAGAGTGCACCAGCATTTCACTTCAACATTTTAAAAAACATCTTCCCGGGGGAGCACGCCCCCGGACCCCCCTAGAGGAGCTGAGGCCCGTCCACCCGCAAATAAAGCAGGTTAAAATAATTAGATTGCAAACATGTTCTTTTAGTAAACACTGAAAACGGGTCCCACAGACCCAAACAGCACACAAAGGTTAAAGGTAAGCCTATTAACGTTAAAATGTGCTAAATATATACACTGCAAAAAACAAAAAAATAGGAGTAAAAGTAGCCCCCGACTTGTTTTATTTTTTTAAAGTAGCCCTCACCCTAAAAAAGGTTGATGACCCCTGCTTTAGACAATAAGAAATATGAAGTTATTACTGTATTACTATTACTGTATTTCAATATCTCACGTCTGAAAGTTTAATTTCAAAGAAGAAGAGGCACATAAAATGAAGATTGTCATTTCAATACATTTAGTTGATTTTGTCTGCACTCACTAGCTACCATCACATGTAACTAATCTTCACTTGAATTTATTAAAAGTATAATTAAGTAACAGCAAAAAATCAATAACTAAAATCATGCAAATATTTGAATCTTTGCTGGGTCAACTGTTGAATTTACCACAAAATATATATTTTAGAAACCTGAAGGCATTTTAAGATTTGTATGCAAGTAATATCCCAAAAACTCAATACCTTACATTATTATTGAAAGTTTTGCTGAACAGTTTTATGTTCACTTACCTTAATAGACCGGGAGTAACAGACGTAGGTAGCCGGCTAGTGTGACAGAACAGCACTACTGAGCATGTTAGCTTAGCTTGGTAGCCTCAGCTAGCTCTGGAACTTCCAGCTCGGTGGCAGCAGGTTCCGCCTCGGCTCCGCCTCTTTGCCCTTATTTGGAGCAGGCGGGAGTTAGACTCTGACGTCACTGTCGAGACGTTAGTGGCCGACACCGCCTACTTTAGGCTTCTCTGCAATTCTGCAGAATCCTATGGGAGACGTCACGGACACTACGTCCATTTATATATACAGTCTATGATTGAAACCTAAATAAAACCACTCTCACACAAACTGAGTTACTGTGTTTTTCAGCAGTAAGCATTATCTGCCAAGCACAGGTCTCACCTCCTTCCAGATGTTGTAATGAGAGAGAAAACAACCAAGTTCCCCCTTGGTGAGGGGCCGACCATGATAAGGGTCTTTGTAACCCGGCAGCATCTTGATCTTCATGGACTCTATATCAGTCTTGTTCAGCACTCTAAGGGAAAGAGAAGGGATAAACAAAGAGATTAGAGATAAACAATAAATTATAGGGATGTGATGTGTGTTTGGAATGGGAAGCAGAGACTTGAATAGCCAATACAATAATATAACACAAGGCATGTGCTGCTTTATATTCATTCTAACCATTTTAAATCAAGATGATGGCAAACACAATAAAATATGCAAAACATGACACTACCTCCGTGACTGGATAGCCTTCACACATATTAGTTGTATTTTACTCAGATGAGCTGAAACGATGTCGTTGAGTTGATATATAATTGGCAGCATGCATCCGCTACTTTTTACGTGGTTGTTTGTCTCAGCTCATCAATCAACACTGCATGCTGCAGAGGCAAAAATCAAGAAGACACAGGCAGTGGGGGAGGAAGGGGATGAGAAACGTACTTGCCGTCCACAGCGTCAACAACCTTACAGCTGATCTCCTGCTCGTGCAGAGTTCTTAGCATTCGCTCGCGACGGTCAGATCTCCTCACCAGATTGATCATGAACACCTGGGTGCACACAAAGGGAGAAGCCTCACACACATGATTAGGGTTATTTGTGTGTTTCTACGTGTTGGTGAGATTGAGTGTGTGTACCTCATCAAAGCCCATCTTGTTAGGCTGCTTGGGAGGAAGAGACAGGAAGCTGGAGGGCTCCAAGGGAGGGTTTTTCACTTTCAAAGGAAGAAAAGGGGAGAAGGTTACAAAGAGAATGAGAAATGTGGTGAAACAGGGCTGTTCGAAATCTGGTTCAAGGATGCTCAGGGAACCCCAGGAGATTTCCCAAGTGAACCATTGATTTAACAGGATAGATGATTGTGTGTATAAAGAGGACTATTTTTATCATTATTGGTATTCATTTGTTTCAAAGACTGTCCTATTGTTTCCTACAATGAGAGACGCTGCACCAAGAAATGATATTTAATTACAGTAGTACTTTACTCTGGTAACATGGAATGTATTCTTAGAGACACTGGTATGACCATTTCCACAGATACTCTATCTATGCATCTTTAATGGCACTATTTCGGGCCCTCTGTTTTTTACTCTTGTTTTTTCTATTTTCTATGCTAACTGCCAATGTCTTAAACAGATTGTAGCAGTAGCAATTTTGTCATGTAGCAAAAGTTAATACGATTCCAGACACTTAGTATGTAGGACCCAAATCCAAAACCCGGAAGACAGAGGTAAAGTATTTGTTGGATACTTTATTTTCCATAACAGCAAAAATGAAAACGCTCACGCAGTGAGGAATCAAAAAACCAAAGAGTTCCA